AATAGTTTTTATATGTGCTTATGTATAGAAAGTGGGCTGTGGATGGGAACCTCATTCCAAAGAGTATAGCATGGAAAGAGAAAGGAAAAGTCACTTTACACTAGAGGAAGTTTAAAAATGCTATCTTAGTCAGATGATTGTGGATGGCATCCATAGTGATAAGACATGATAATATTTTGTGTCCTGAGTACAACATGGTAGGAGGGGCACTTTACTCCTGTGGCCTTCCACAGGTAACATGATATAATCAAGAAAAAGCAATCATATGTAACCTACTAGAAGGTAGAGGAAGGATAGAGGTGAGGCTGGGCACAACCTGTCTTGGACAGGCTACCAAGCACACAACCAACCAGTGCTCCTAAAGCTTTGGAGACTGTCAAGAACAGAGAAGGTTTGAGATACTGTCACGGCTGAGAGAAGGGGTGTGTGGGATTTGCCAACACCAGTTGTTTTATAAATGTAAACTACTTCTAAAACAAAAGAATGTACTCTTATAGTACACACACTTGAATGATTTTCTGGAAAACTGTTGCCCCCATGATTATTCCAGATGATGGTGCTGAATACAGACTCAGGTGATTCTCGTCCATCATTCCAGATCCCAGCCTCAGCTGTGATATGGAATTCATTTTCAGAGCTTCTCAGAATCTCAGCATCATTCTCTTCTCTTCCTGGAGAAAGATCAACATGCTGTCTTCACTACTGATTGAAGCTTGATCTCCAACTTCAGCACTACCAAGGTTTCCAGTAGCTGGTGCATAATTAATGGCATCATCCCTCCAAGGGCAGGAAATGTGGCAGGAGAAATATGAGATGACATCTGAGGACAGAGGGAAAAGTCAATTGGTAGAACTAGAAAGCCACGTGCTTTGTGATGTGCTGTCACGCTGAGGTCCATTCTCGGCTTTCTCTACTTGGCAATCTGGATGTGCAAGGGCTGAATTCATGACTCTGATCCTTGAGCCAAGCACCTGACAGAGGTAAAGAGAAAGTCTCACTTTCTCCACACACCTTGCTCCAAGAGTGAGTGACCTATTGAGGAAGAGACTATGTTATGGCTTGGATGTGAGATGTCCCCTACAAGCTCACGTGTGAGACAACACAAGAAGGTTCAGAGGAGAATTGATTGGGCTGTAAGATTCTTAATCCAATCAGTGATTTAATCCCCTGATAGGGATTCACTGAGTGGTAACTGAAGTGGTGGGGTGTGGCTGGAGGAGGTTGGAATCCAGCACAGCTTTGGGTACATATTGAGAGCCATAGCCGAAGGGGCCCCAGAAAACTTCCAGCTGCCAGCTGATGATTGGCTCACAGCAGCCCCAGCAAACTTCTAGCTGCCAGCTGATTGGCTCCTCTGCGGTGATGCTCATTGGGCTGTTTCCCTGCCCTTTCAGCCTGCCCTTTCAGACCACAGAGCTGCTCATTGGGGGACTTTTTTTTGGCTCCGCCCATGAGACCCAGCCAAT